CAGCGCGCGGAGGAGGTGGAGGAGGCCGGCTGCACGGGACCTCCACCGCACGGGACCAGATGGCGGGCGAGGCCGCCGGGGCCAGGGCGCGATTGCTGCGCTCGCCGTGGCCGCCGGGCCGAGATCGCCATGGCCGCCAAGACTGAGCTCACCCCTCCCCCATGGCTAGAGCTCGAGTAGAGGTCGTGCTCGCCCCTGCCATGGCCTCGCGTGCGCGTATAGCGCGAGGAGCCGACGAAGACGCCGTCACATCCGAGCCTTGCGTGCAGCAAGGTCCTCCATGCAGTCTCGGGCAGCATCGCTGTTGCCGACGTCGTCCCTCCCGATGCCGACATCCCGATGGCCATCGTCCACTCCTTCAGAAGTTGGGGGCGGACCCAACTGTGGCTCAGTGACACCGGATGTTCAAAACTAAATTTTCTCTTTTCTCAACCGGCTGAAACCGGGCCGTGGTGTCCTGTGGCCTAATTTCAACGAATCAGGGTGTCTTCTGGCACACTGCTCAAAACGGAGTGTCCGCCAACAAACGACCATCACTTTGGATGTCCGCCAGACAATTGCCCCAAAAGAAATGCCCACCTCTGAAAATATAACCCATTGTCTCCTAAATTCATTTTTGTAGTAATGTTGATCTAGAGTATCTATTTGAAACACGAAAACAAAATCTTCAGATGGAAAAGTTTTACACAGAAATACATTAAGTAATGCCATACTAATGGGCCACACTGCTAAACATGTGCAACCGGTAGGCAAGAGATATAGAAGATAATCAACTATGCAGTTATTGATTGTTCCTCGAGAAAGTATATTTAAAATATGAGAAAATACACCCTGGGCTCCTAACTAGTACATATATTCCTAAATATCTTCAACTAATAAACCATTTAGTAGAGCATCCTCTAATGTTGGGCATATTTGAAAGCAGGAAATTGAACGTCAGTTGGAGATTGCAGCTTAGAAAAAAGTTTGTTTGTTTTGGTGGCAATGGAAATGTGCGTTTAAGGGTCAACTCCGACTAATCATAAAATACCTGGGGAAATACATATTCACTGTCCATCATGACATGATCTACAAATTCGCACTCAAAAACTGGACACCCCAGGGGATATGAATTGCTGAATTGCGTCTTCAACTCTCCCTCTTATACACCCCATGAACCGAACAATACATTAGAACTAAAATTCAAATTTTCATCTTAATTCATTTCATCAACTCCCAGCACTAATTGCCATAGCCCTTCATATATAGTTGCCAAACGCACCCTTATCCTCATACAAAACCTACAAAGTCTATAGGTACCACAAGCCTCAGTATTATACATGTGTCCCGGTTCCAATAAAAACGTTTCCCACAGCATAGAAATCACCCAAGATCTGAGGCAGACATGCTAGTATCACGGAGCATGAGGATCGGACAGGGTATGTGACTATTCCACTACGAGGTAGCTCCACACCAAGCACTGACCGAGATGGTGGAAGGCATAGCAGGCAGTCCATTTGGATCTGCAGCATGAACACACTGCTGGCAGTGACTTATTAGCTTGGCCAACCAAGTCAAGCAGCATTTGAGTTGCAGAAGCAAGCGCAGGAGTCATAATCTGCAACTCTCCAGGTGCAACCATTGTTGTGACTTGGATATGCATACTGCAATAACTGCAACTCTAAGTTCATAATGTTAAAACCTAGACTATAATTAGGCCTACGTAGATTAGCTACATATCCTTCTCTGTTTTGCTGAGAAGAAGATATCAGCATGATATGTGGGTCTTCCTTTGGCACATCACATCGGCACACTGACACTAAGTTCATCTGTCTCAATCTGTCAGCATGACAGTAGTGCATCCCCGACGGAATGAATTATTAAATTTAAAGTAAAAAATACACTGTTGGCCCTTAAACTTTAAGATGGTGTAAGATATGTTGGGACTTAAGATATGTTGTTCACTACATATCCTTTTTTCTATGGATTGTTCACTGCATATCCATTAAGGTCTCCTTGTACATGTGAAGCTGAGTCACTACCGGAAACAGAGACTTTGCCGAGTGCAAAATTCTTTGCCGAGTGTCAAAAATCGCGCACTCGGCAAAGACCTTTTTTGCCGAGTGCTGCACTCGGTAAAGAATTGCACTCGGCAAAGAGTTCTTTGCCGAGTGCCGGGCACTCGGCAAACAAGGGCACTCGGCAAAGGACTTCTTTGCCGAGTGCCAAACTCACGGCAAAATCTCTACACTCGGCATAGGCTGCCCGCGAAACGGTGTTCGGTCACGGCCTTCTTTGCCGAGTGCCTGCTGTTAGGCACTCGGCAAAGATTTTTGATTTTTTTAAAAAAAAATTCTTTGCCGAGTGCCCCAGATCCGCGCTTTTCGGCAAAGATTTAATTTTTTAAAAAATTTGCCGAAAGTGTCTCAGATCGCACACTCGGCAAAGAATTTTTAAAAAAAATTTTTTGAGAAGTCTTTGGCACACTTTCGGCAAAGATTTAATTTTTTTATAATTTCTTTGCCGAAAGTGCTCTGTGGATGCATTTCGGCAAAGAGGAATTTTAAAAAAAAATAAAACCCTCTTTCGAGTGCCTTATCTCGGCACTAAGCAAAGACACTTTAAAGTGCCATCTCAAGCACTTCGGCAAAAGTTTTTTTTTTTTTTTGTTTTTGGCCTCAAATTTTTTGTGCAGCCCTTTTAAAGCACGAGGAGGCTGCTAGTTACAATTTGATTTTTTTTGTGGCTTTTTATATATTTAGTTACTTTATTTACGTTTACTTGAATTTTTACGAAAAATAGAAATTTGAGCTGCATTAGTACGAATAATGGAATTTAATGATTCAAACATTGATAGTCATGTTAGTGAGTGTTGTGAGAGGCGTATCGAGCGGACCGAAATTTGGACATCTTATTGAAAAACATGTCATGCGAGATTGATGTGAAGCGTTTTAAATTCTATAAAAAAGCATCAAAATCGTGAAACTTGTTGAATGTAGTGATATCATATGTGGAGGCTATGAACAAAATTTCAAAAGCATCGTACGTCCGAAAATGCACGTGAATCTAATTTCAAATTTTTATCATAGCCTCCACATATGATATCATGACATCTCAACAAGTTTCATGATTTTCGGACTTCGCTTGCTTTTTATAGAATTTAAAAACACTTCGCACGCAAGTTCAAGGGTCATGTTTCGTGAACAAGATGTCCGAAATTTCAGGTCCGCTCGGATACGGCCTCACACTACACTCAAGAATATGACTATCATTTTTGAATCATTAAATTCCATTATTCGTACTAATGTAGTTCAAAATTATATTTTTCGAAAAAATTCAAGTAAATAAAATAAAGTAACTAAATATATCAAAAAGTCATAAAAATCCCCAAATTCTAACTAGAAGTTCCGGGTGCTTTAAAAGGGTTGCACAAAAAATTTGGAGGCCAAAAACAAAAAAACAAAAAAACCTTTGCCGAGTGCCGGGGCATGGCACTCAACAAAGGGGGTCTTTGCCGAGTGCCACGGATAAGGCACTCGGCAAAGTGGGTTTGGATTTTTTTTAAAAAAATTCCTCTTTGCCGAGTGCCTTCACAGGTCACTCGGTAAAGACATTTTTAAAAAAATTAAATCTTTGCCGAGTGCCGTGTCAGGGGCACTCGGCAAAGTATTTTTTTTAAAAAAAAAACTTTGCCGAGTGCCAGATCTGAGACACTCGGCAAAGAAAATTTTTTAAAAAAAATTAAATATTTGCCGAGTGCTAGATCTGGGACACTCGGCAAAGAATTTTTTTAAAAAAAATAAATCTTTGCCAAGTGCCTCCCTAATCCGGCACTCGGCAAAGGGGCGGTTGGGGGACTTAAACGATTTCGGCCGGCCAGGCAGTCAAGCAGACAGCCAGCCAGCCCCCACGCCCGCGCGCCCGCGCTGCCCGCGCTGCCCGAGCCGCCCGGCCGCTTAAGCGCTCGGCCGCAGCCCCTCCCGGCGCCGCGCGACGGCCCTGCCCCCGCCCCCGCCCCCGCCCCCGCCAGCCCTCGCCCCCACGGCCACGTGTGGCCGAGCGTGGCCAGCTCGCCCACGCCCGGAACCGCTCCAACTCCAAGGGAAACAACAGCAAGGCGCTCCCGCTCCCGCCGTCGCTACTCGCCCACTCCTGCGCCGGCGGCTCCGACCCCTACGCCTCCGTCGTCCCGGCCGAGTACGCCGCCGCCATGGACCCGCCGTCGAACCGCTGGAGGGTGCGTGTGCGCCGGACCCGGCGCCGGTCGCCCAGCAGGCTCGCTGAGTGGCTGTCCATGCTCAGCCTCTACCGCTCCTGCAAGCGCGCCGCCGCCTGCTTCGCCGCAAAGGCCAAGTCGCTGGCGGCCTGAGCGACTGAGGCCCGAGAGATAAGTCGTTGTTGCCCGCAATCTGCTGCAACTTCCAGTTCTCAGTCTCATCTCTGATCTCTCCCACTCCCAGCTCCCGTGTGTGTGCTGTGTTGATAGCAATATTGGTGTGCGTGATGCCGTTTGCATTTTGTGCGATGATAATTCACTGTAAATTACTCGAATTACTAGTATAAGTATTAAGTAAATAGGAGTATATGATTCCATTTGATATATATACATGTTGTATTTACAGTTGCCATGGTTCCTGCAGGTTATATTATAATTACTACTATATGATAATTGTTATTTGTGGGATCATAACACCATGGTTCCTGCAGGTTGCAAAATTTTCTTGTAACCCCTCAATATGTGCACCACAACTTGAAGCAGTTGAAATGATTATAAGTTTTCGTCTTAAAACACTATGTTCATTCAAATTCTCTAAGTTGATGTTTGAGGTTCAGGATTTTTTTAGATTTGTTTGCCAGCCAACATCAATTGCCACTATGTAAAAACTTTCATCATTGACGATAAATAAACTTAGAAAATGGTTACAACTTACAACTAAATATGATATAGGATAACCACATGCAGGATTGGAAAATGCAGGATTGGAGAGATCCCAGGGTTGTTTGTGATTGGGAAACCAGATATGACCGTTGTGGCGTTCGCCTCGGATGTTGTCGACATATTTGAGGTGAACGACATAATGTCATCAAAAGGTTGGCATCTCAATGCTCTGCAGAGACCTAACAGGTAAATCTTGGCTTCAGGCAAACAATTGTATTGTACTCCCTCCTTTCCAAATTATTAGAGATTTTTGTTTTTCCACATACATAGCTTTTTATATGCACTTAGATATACATAATAAAAACAGTGTATCTAGAAAAACAAAAAAAGTCTTATAATTTGGAATGGAGGGAGTCCCTTCACCCCAGCAGCCATTGGTGCTATTTGCATTCTCGGCTAGTCTGACAATCCTTACCGGTTTCAATTTGCACATTTGTGTGACCCTTCAACACACGACTATTTATGACCAATTCCTGAAGGATCTGCAATATTCTGTGAACACTGTGAGTTGCTCAGCACGTGTTATGTTATGTCGCCTAATGGCTATTATTACCCTGATCCATTCCATCGCTAGGAAAGGCTATGTTTTCTTATGACGTTTGGCGTTGGCAGGTGAAAGCAAACCCAGGCCCTATTAGCGGTGGAATGGCTCCTATCTACGGCGCCGCAGGGAAGATGCCAGACAGAGGCACGGTGAAGGAGCTGCTTGTGGAGTTCATGGACAGCTCTTGCTGAACTGATTATGGCTTGTGAAAAACAGTTGCAGTGCTGTGATTTGTTTGCCTAGGTATACAAAGTTATCATAGGAAAGAGGGGAAAGTCATTGAGGCGATACAACCACATGTATTAAGTATTAACGATTATTAGAAGAAGTGTATCCGTATGATTGTATATCAATATCAGAGCATGCAGGTTTCAAAAAAAAATCAGAGCATGCATATGCAATGTACCACAAGGCTTACAAACGTATATGTTCCTATAAAACATCATTTCAGGGGATAATAATAATAATAAACGTATCTGTGCTTGGAAAACCATTTTTCCAGCTTTGCCGAGTGCTGTGACCATGACACTCGGTAAAAAAAATTAAAAAAAAATTCAAACTTTGCCGAGTGCCGGCCAGAGGGCACTCGGCAAAGATTTTTTTTTAAAAAAAAAATCAAACTTTGCCGAGCGCCGGACAAGGGGCACTCGGCAAATAATTTTTTTAAAAAAAACAAAAAATCTTTGCCGAGTGCCTGAAGGGTTGGCACTCGGCAAAGAAATTTTGTAAAAAAAATAAAAAATCTTTGCCGAGTGCCTGTAGGGTTGGCACTCGGCAAAGATTTTTTTTAAAAAAAAATAAAAAATCTTTGCCGAGTGCCTGCAGGGTTGACACTCGGCAAAGAATTTTTTTTAAAAAAAATATAAAATCTTTGCCAAGTGTCTGCAGGGTTGACACTCGGCAAAGTGACCGTCAATGGGGCCGGCGCCGTGACGGTTGCTTTTCTTTGCCGAGTGCCCGATAAAAGACACTCGACAAAGAGGGCTTTGCCGATCAATTTTTTGCCGTGTGTTCTTTGCCGAGTGCCGCACTCGGCAAAGGCTTTGCTGAGTGCAATTTGGCCTTTGCCGAGTGCCTCAGGCACTCGGCAAAGAACCTGAATCCAGTAGTGAGTACATATCCATCACTTGGCAGTCTCAAAAGCAGAGAGTTGTGGCTTTGTCCTCATGTGAAGCTGAGTACATCACTGCAGCCACCGCAGGCTGCCAAGGAGTCTGGTTGGCGTGTCTTCTTGCAGAGCTCAAGGGCGAGAAGGCCGGCACCACCAAACTGAAGATAGACAATCAATCCACCATTGTTGTTCACAGCAAACACATTGATGTCAGGTAAGCAAGTTGCGTTCGTTGATCAGGGTTCTTGATGTACAGCACATGCGCAAGTTTTAGGAGGAGAATTTGTTAGTAAATCCTTGCCCATGTTAGTTAGGATCATTTTCCTTTTTCTGTTGAGTAATGCGTGTGAGCTCCGGGATGTGGAAGCCATGTAGATAGGAGGCCGTGGCGGGAATCACTCATCACACGCCTGGACTCGTGGCCTGAACCGTGTCATGGAGCGTGGGGATGGACGTGCTTTTTGCGCGATGCTGTGACCGACGTGCGTCGGTGTAATCACAAATTAAAGGAGAAGTAAAGATCAGAAAAGCTGCCGCTTCATCGCAGCACCAAAACTAGTGTTCCAAGTGTTCAAGTTGAGTTTTGGGTTGTGTTCATGTTCGACTTCGTTTTCGTGCTCATCGCCGAGCTGGGGTCCTTGCCACTGGCGTTCACTCTTGTTGCTGGTAACACCAGCTAAATTTTGAAAACACATATTTGTTTCTTAAAAGCAGAGTTTTACTTGTTTTAAAAAATTCCTAGGAGAGAATCAATTTGTCAATGGGTTCAAATCATATCCATATGAAGGAAGAAATATCTTCAAGCTTCGAGGATGTCTTAGATCTTGTTTTGGGCTGTTGTGGAGGAGGAGGACGAGAATTATGTTTTCTCGGGGGTGATGAAGAGGGAGGAGGAGAAGGAGGAGTCTTCTCTCTTTTCTTGGGGCTGATGAAGATGGAGGACGAGGAGGAAGAGAAGGAGACTTCTGTCTTCTCGGGGGTGATGGCAAGGAACCAGAGAAGGTAGTGTGATCTCCTCTGATGGGAGATGGTGACTGATTATCTCTGGGCAGCGAAGATTTGCTATCGTCCTCATCATCATCCGAAGACAACTGGTGATCAAGCTTAATGAAGCGCTTGCGCCAGGCCACATGAGCGCCCTTGCTCTAAACAAGGCGTTGCCTATCTTCCTATGCGGGGTAACCAATGTGCATCTTGTTATACTTCTTATCAAGTATAGTATCAATGTTGACATGGGCATACCTCGTTGGAATTGGGCGGCCATTAATGGTCCCGTCTCCCGCAGGCCAGGCCTGGCCGACCGCCACCTTGTCAGTTGTCCATTACTGACGGAGAGGTTGCCGAGCAGCGATGAATCCATGCCGCTCTGGTCAGACAGTCTAGAGCACACCGAATAGGATGACACTGTCAACCTCACGGCGTCATCGGCGTTGCTCTATCTTCAGAAACATTATTCTAGTACCTTTTGTATGCACCATTCTTGCGGATGACCACGCTTATTGAAATTTTTATGTGGAGGGCTTTCTCCCATAGAGAGGCCAAAGATGTGTATACTAGCTAGAGAGAACGAAGTGAGAAAAAAGCAGCAAGAGGGTGGCATGACTTAGCTGTTGAGAGGCTAGCTCCCGACCGACGGCTATTTTATAGGGGCTAGCAGTCGTGGTACGTTTTTATTTTTGAACTAAAGCTACCGGGTTAGGTGGGAGCAGTGCTCCTGCTATGATGGTCAGCGGGAGCACTGTTGGCCTATGAGGAGCATCTAGACATCACTGTCGGTTTTAGTTTCAAAACCGACAATGAACGTTGCCTTCTGTGTTGGTTATGGGAACCGACAGTGATAACTTCTATCACTGTCGGTTTTTACACAAAAATCGACAGTGATGGGCCCTGCCATGCTGACACCCAGCAGTTGGGCTGCCTGTCGTCGCAACCTTTTTATAAAAAACATAAAAAAAATTCCGAGCCTAGGATTCGAACCCAAGTCTCGAGGTTCTTAGTTTGGAGCCTTTACCACTGCGCTAGAATAGGGATTACGTTAGAATTAGTTATATGCTTTATTTTATCCCGTCGTAATGCACTACTACTACATAATAAATGAAAAATCAAAAAAAATTTGGTCCGCCTAGGATTCGAGCATGGGTCGCGGGGTCGATAGTGCGTGGCCTTAACCGCTGAGCTAGGATAGGGAGTTCGGTTAGATTAGTTTTATTTTTTCTTTTATCCCGTCGTAACGCACTACTAAATAATAAATGTAAAATTAAAAAAGTTTGGCCTATCTGGGATTCGAGCGCGGGTCTCGGAGTATAGAGTGCGCAGCCTTAACCACTGAGTTAGGATAGGGAGTTCAGTTAGTTTGCTTTTCTTTATTTATTTATTAATAGAAAAAATGCAGTTAGTTTATATTCTAAAATAACACAAAAATTTGTGTCTTGATTATTTAATTCTATGATAATTAATTAATGGTCTATAATTATCAAATAATAGTGTTTGTGAACGTCATCTCAATATTTGATTACATAGTCAATAATTAAATTATAGAGATGCGCATAAAATATAAATTAGATATTCAGTGTGAATTACTGATACAACGTCTTGCAAATTAGTTAATAATAATCTAACTATCTTCATCGGGTCCAACAATGAGGGCTTCATCGTGATCACACCGGGCGTAAGCAGGTTCGTCACCCTCTTCAAGGATAGGTAGGGGTACGTTCGCCCCGAATGCAGGTATTTCCTGATAGCCCCTGTAATCTTCTTCGTCCATCACTCCATCGACACTGACAATCTTACTTTTCCTTTCAGGACTATTTTTAGCTTTGCTTTTGTCTTGTTGTCCCCTGCATAGAAGATTTGTATAACGTATTTTGTAAGGACGAAGGGGTCGTCTCTGTATGCGGTCTTGGTGAGATCAACGGTAGTGAACCCTTCTCTGTTGGTGGTGATTTCCTCGAGCCAGACCCACTGGCAGCGAAAAAGAGCTCCCTTCAACCGATCGTAGTCTACCTCACATATCTCCTCTATGAAACCATAGTACGTTGCCTGTGCGTTGCCGTTTTCGTCGTGAGCATCGAAATGAACACCATTGTTTTGGTATGTGCTCTTTCCATATTCTTTTTTGTGTAAAATGTAAATCCATTGATCTTATACCCTTGGTACTTAAGCAATGTACTCGAAGGTCCCTTGGCTAAGATATCCAGCTGATTACCCAATGTTGTTCCAATCAAGTAGCATCACAACCAGCTGACAAATTCATCCTTATGTTTTTTATCAAGCCAAGCCTGCGACCTGCTTGAATACAAAGTTTGCAGCGATTGCCTATGCTCGTCAATGTATGGCATCACATCCTCTTCTTGCTAGAGAACAGCGAACTATGCCTGTCTAAAAGAAATGAGGTCATCTAATATGATCGATTTCTCCCCGATCGTTCCTTTGCCACCTAGTCTTCCCTCATAACGAGATTCTAGAACTCCGACCCTATTGATGATAATATGTGCAGAACTCAATGGCATCCACCGTTGACCATCCTTCAACCATGCCCCCTTTTGGCCTGAATCTGTTCCTAACATACCTCTTGAAAATTTTCATCAACCTTTCAAAACGGAACATCTGATGCAGGTATATTGGGCCAAGGGATCTAATTTGGTCAACAAGATAAATGAGCAGATGCACCAAGATATCAAAGGAAGTCGGCGGGAAATGAACCTCAGGCCTAACAAGAGTTTCGGCAATGTCTCGTTGCAGCTGGTCCAACGTAGACACATCAATGACCTTTTTGAGATCGCATTGAAGAACGAGCACAGCTTTATGATTGGGGCGCCGACCTTTGGGGGAGGATACCACGCAGGGCAACAGAGAGCAGTTGAGTCATAATGACATGATAGTCATGGGCATTCATACAGCCATAGTTGAACTTGAGTTCTCTCATGTTCACTAGCCTCTTCAGGTTCGCACAGTAGCCCGTTGGGACTTTGAGTTCCTTGAAGAAAGAAATAAGTGCACGCTTTTCTTCCTTCTTCAAGGTCCATGACGTAACCGGAAGTTCGAACTAGCCATCCTCTAGCCCCATGGGATGTAGCTCCT